GAACTGCAGATAACAGTCAGCTGAAGTGGCCTGCAGTACTGCACCCTAACCACTGCACCACCTCGGCTCTCAAACTCACAATGTCATGCTGTCATTACTTGATGTATCACAACTTTTCCCCCTTTCGCTAAAATAGGAGTGGGGTGGCCAGCTTGTGACTCATCCAGCCTGCGGGTCATGAGTTTGACACCCCTAATCTAGACTGAATTATTGAAAAATGAATGGAGCTGTTTTACCAAATGTTCTTGATGATTTTCCTTTCACATTTCATATTTTACCAAGAATGTTTCAAGTTATATTTTTACGATTTAAGGAAGACCTGTTACGATTCTTCCTTTACACAATCCACTATATATGCATTTTCATACTTCTTAACAATTCATTTTGTTAGATATTGTTATTCTACTAAGATCTGAACAACTACCATTAATTAACCATGATCTTCACTAAAAGCTCTTGGCAAATTTAGTGCATCAACTTCCACAGAGCCACATGTTCTCCATACTGTACATGACTAAGCTCTTTGGGCTGATGTTTCATTGGATTCAACTCTATCCTGGCAAAGGCATCCTGGCAAAGGCAAGATAAATTACATATACAGTAAAGCATTTGTAATTCCCAACATTCACATAGAAATCAGTTTATATTTCTAAATGAGCTATATAGAGCATACTTCATGTACAATGGTACTTGGTACTTGACTGCTTTGAAACTTGTAAAATGTCATTCTTGATACATTGTGATACAAAAGTTTTGTCCTAGTACTCAGCATTTGTTTGGTAATTGACACACAAGTTAGAACTTGTCGATGTCGACTGCCTCATGACTAATATGTTATTCCTTATGGGAAAAATTTGTTTGGTGCTGATCATTTTTGGTACTCATTGCTCCTCCCAGAAATAATTAACGATAGGTATCAAGATACCATTGGTTTTTTTTTTTTAGGCAAATATAGTGTTATTCCATGTGATTTAGTCCCCAGAAAGAAAGGGGGTTAACCCAATTTCAGTGATGTCCAATTGAGAAAGATGCAGTTGCTTTAGATTTATTTGAATAGTCCAGAACTTTTAAACTCTTTTTATCTCACAGGACACTTCTCAGAGATGGAACTGCCAGGTGGCATCTGTTGTGCCTGCTAATGGCCAGCAGGGTTTGCAGCAGATTCGGACAAAGAGGAGGCTGGGGAGGAACATGGGCCAGTCCTGGAGTCTGAGGAAGGCTTTGATGAGGGCTCTGTGTCAGAGCAGAGAGGAGGCCAGAGCCGTATGCCAGTTTCAGCTGCCTTCAGAGTCAGAAATCAGTGAGGCAGATGAACAGCTGGAACCTATTCCCAGTGTACGCAGTTGCCAGACAAAGGGAACAGTTAAAGAACAGGGGTCAACTTGGGAATAAGGCCATAGGTGGATGATGAATAGCCCCTCCCTGAGGAAATAAAAGAGGAGCGAAAGAGGAATGGGGTTTGCAGGAGACAATTAGTTTGCTTAATTGGGACTTTCCTAGATTCTTTGCCAAGTTTTGCAGATATTAGCCTGTTAGGTCTCCAAGCCAGATAAGGTCTGTGACTATAAGTCCTCCCTTGAAAGACTTTGCTGGATGTGAATGAGAAGAATTCACAGTAAAATAATAAAAGGGTTTTTTCTTGGGACAAGGAGTTTGCTTCATGTTTTTGGGAAGTCTAGGTCAGAACAGCAAGTCACAATACTCATCCCATAGGTGGAACTCCTGAGATGTCACAGGTTTCTAGGACATGAAAGGAGAAATGGAAGCAGTCCACATCTAGTGATGGTGCAGCATACCTGTGGCTATTTCAGAGCATGCCAGTGTATTGTACTAGAGCTACTGTTGGAATAGTGCAATGTTTTACTTAGGATATGCTTACTCTGTATATTCTTGATCTTTAAAGTAAAATATTATTGATGCTTGTTTTCTTTTTACATTTTAATTCAGATGCTGGGTCCAGCATTATTTATTTCATAATTATTTGACTCATTCTGCTTATAATTTTTAAACCTACCACAAAAAACAATAAGGGAAAAATGAACAAATAAGCAATACAAAAAATACAGACATTTTAGAATTATCTAAGAATTATGCACTTAATAGAGGAGAGAGATGGGAAAGTTGTGGGACTGGATAAAAGATGTGTTCTACTGTGCCAGTGGCACTATTCTGAGCCACCAGTTCACTGACATTATTATGAATGTTTTGTCATTGATGATATTGTGCTTTTGTAATTCTGTTTGTGTTTTCTGGTCTAAAATTTTGGATCTCAATTTTTTACTTTGTATAATGAAGCTTAATGTCAATGTTATAGTTCTTTACTAAATCTAACATTGTTTTTTGCAAAACATTCTCATTCTGGTATGCGGTTTTTGTTTTAACAGAAGGCGAGTATATCAAGATGTTCATGCGGGGACGGCCCATCACAATGTTTCTTCCTTCAGAAGTTGACAAATATTACGAAATCAAGACAGAGCTGCCCCCTGAGAAATTAAAACTGGAGTGGGTGTATCCTTATTGCACACTTCAAGGAAAACGCTTTCTATTTTCAATAGTTTGCTTTCCCCTCTTCTCTTTAAAATCTAATTTTCAATTTTGCCTTATTTAAGCTTTTCTTAATTTGATAAAAATTAATAAATTATCTCTTAGGGAGAAAAAAATACTGTTGTCTTCTGTAAATCCTTGGATGTCAGTTTCCTTGCAGCAACCACTCACCAACTCAATTATTCGTACTGATTTTTTTCACACAGACTTTTCCCATAGTTACTTTAGAGCCTATACTTCTTCATGCTGTTAAGCACTGGATTACCATCACTTATAAAGACAGCACTTGCCTTCTTGAATCAGGGAGCTGTCTGTCTTCTACAGATTATGGAACCTTGTTGTTTGTTATTTTGAGGTCTACCTTCCCTTGTGTGTAATTTTTGCATGCCATCAGAATGTCAGACCAAAACCATATACAAACTACATTTTCATTTATTCATCTAAACCATTGAACACATCTACAATCTCAGAAAAGATGCAGCATGCAGGAAGAAAATACCTAAAGTGAAGACCACCCGATGAGTTTGAAAGATGAGAGTAGCAAAATGTATGGTGGTATAATTTTTAATGTTACAGAAAGAAAACTGTTCATCTGTTTATAGTGGATCTCAAACTTTCATCCCATTTTAATGGTGAATCATAGGGAAACTAGAGATAAATACTGAAAAATACTTAATAGTTGTGTGAACACAAATATGTGAGTGCAGCATTGAAACACTTTTAATTAGGTAACAAGCAGTTTTATAAACTGAATATAAATACAGTTTCTTCATATATATTACTCTTTCAGCAAGGCTGTCCATGGGGACATCTGAAAAAGTGGTAAGGAGTAACAAAAGCACCACCACAATGCAGGCTCCACCTCTTTTGCATTGTGATGTAACATACTTTTATTGCAGGGGCAGAACTTTCAGAGGAATAGTAATTTCATTATTTTAAAGAAAACATTAGTCTTATGGATGCTTCTCCTGCTGTAAAGGGAGGCAGAGCTAGTGAAGGAATACAAAAGTTATCAACAAAATAGATAGTATATGAAATCTGTGAAAAAAATATAAGAGACCCAAAATAACCCCAACATGATTCTGTGGTGTATGGTAGGATAGTTGAAAATTTTGGCAAGCTTTCACAATTCTATAATACACTGCAACAACAGAGGTCTATTCCCTTACATATCTGACTTACCTTGTAGGGCTGACATCCTTTCAGTTCATGAGTGTCAATTTAAGCTAGATTGATTTGTTGTTAGATACCTCATAGATCAGCGATCATCAACATTTGTGGCTTGTTGGCCTGGCTTGGGTGGGGGTGGGAGTGGAGGGGAGTGTGTGCATGCATGTATGCCAATAGCTCAGGCAGCCCGGTTGCGAATAGACCGCAACCCAGTATATTGTCATATATTTGTTTTAAGAATTCATTATCACAAAGTATGGCATGACATTAAACATGGTAAATAAAAATGTCAAGCTTACTAATTATGTTTGGTGCTTCAGGTTTTGACTATTGAATTATTCTATTTCAAATATAAATTTAAAATTAACTTTCTTCTACTGAAATCCTGAAGGTCATAATCAGTATTCTAGACATCTTTCCCCTTATGACAAATTTCTGGAATTTTTGCACATTACTTTTAGAAGGCCTTGTAAAACTAATGCAGTTTAAGGACTGCAACATCAGGAAATCTTACTGACTTATATATTCTGGTGCTGAAAAATGGATTAAGTTACATAATGAAAAGTTCATTATTTTGGTTTACAGATGGACATGATTTCATACTTAATAGTCTCCTATCTCTTACTATAGAATCGGATATATTTTTTCCATCTTAAGAGTCATTTTCTCCGCATAAAGTGTGTAATCTTTATTAATAATTCTATTCCAAGCTTTTGGGGCAATATATAAAAACAGTATGTAGATATAATAAATGTAAATACCAAACATAAGATCTAAACAGTAGAAAAAGATTTTAAAAAGATGAATATCAGCATTATTTATGTCAGCAGGAATGCAAAAATAATTTCATAAATACTAAAAACTGAAATGAACTGTGCAGTCGTCAGTCAGGTTTGAAAAAATATAATATCAGTCTTGTGAAATGATAAATTTCAATTTAAGTTTCAAAAGGAATTTCAAGTATCTAAGAAAACGCCAGATTCTGATACCAATGTGGATTCCAAACAAGTCTCCTAGGCGCAAAATTCCAAGGGGTGGAGTATAGGGGTATGTCAGATTATTAAGACTATATAGCAGCATATGAGAAAAACATTTTTTCATGTTACCACAGATTTTTATAGCACAAGCTTCCATCATTAATGCAGATTCAGTTTGAAAAACCTTGACATTTTAAAAAAACAGATATGGTTATCGTGGCAGGGACTGTCGAGCTAATGTTTACCTCTTACCTACTGGAGAAATAGTATATTTCATAGCATCTGTGGTAATACTGTTTAATTATGAAGAGCGGACTCAGCGTCATTACTTGGGTCATACGGATTGTGTTAAATGGTTAGTATATGCTTCCATTATTCATGCTTCAGTTATTTAAAGAGATTGATAGTTTCATGCTATTTGCCATGTGCCTGGTTTCCAACATCCAATATACAAATGTGCCAAGAACAATGATGAAGAAGACACTTGTGTATTGTGTAAAATCATGTGGTTTCTTCCAGAATTTAAGAGGCATTCTGATACTTGATTTTATTGAAGGATTTACCAGTCCTATGTTATTAATGAACTGTTATTTGTTCCTTGGTAAAAGCTAGTTAAGCTGGTGTAATCTGTGCACTCTCCATATTGCGTCAGCATTAATAAGTGATTTAAGTTATGAATTGTATACCCAATTAAATTTTAATCTTTTTCCATTATCTGAACAATATCTAGTTTTAATATGCTCCTAAGAAAATAGTGTTGTAGTAAATATAAAATATAAATATTTTCAGGTACTTGAAATCGAAATATTTGTGTGACAATTTAACTGGACTTTTGCTAACATTTCTATCAGTTATAAATTTTTGCTTTTGAAAGAGAAAAATGTGAAGTCTTGATTGTGCCTGTGTGCTAATTGTGGATCACGTGAGCAAGATGATATAGATCCGTGATGGCAAACCTATGGCATGCATGCCACAGGTGACATGCAGCATCCTTTCTGTGGGCACACAAGCCGTCACCCTAGTTGAGCTCTACGACCCATGTGCCAGAGGTCTTTGGGTCTCTGCCATGCAACTTGGGGGTGGGGCACATCTGGAGGGGCTGCACATGTGTATATGAGGGAGGCACGCATGTGGGGTTTGCGCATGTATGCGTGAACAGACTGAGTGTGCGGGTTGCGCATTGCATTTTGGAGTTTTAGGTGCAGGCGTACAAGTGCTTTGGGCACTCAATCCAGAAAAGGTTAGCCATCACTGATATAGATCTATCACGGTAGCACAAAACAAGTCCTGTTTAACATTTTGAATATTAATCTGGATTCATAAACAGTATGCTGCTATTTCCCTAAAATCTACATGGAGCATGAAAGCATGCAGTGTTCCTAACAAGATTATTTCTTCTAGCCTTGCAGTTCATCCAGACAAAATCAGGATAGCAACTGGACAGCTAGCAGGAGTGGATAAAGATGGAAGAGTAAGTTTTTAATGACTATCTCAATAATTGGTTTCTGATTCTGGAAAATCTCTTAGGTATCTCTCATTTTTACTATTCATTTGTCTGATGAATAATTCAAAAGGTATAATTTGTTCATGTTATCTTAAATTGCATTGTGTATTTCCCAAAGAAGTCTTGAGTTGACCACATAAATCTTGAAAAGTTTATTTTAGCCAGACTTTTGTATCTGCTTATCTTATGCCATTTTTAAAAGAAGATGTGCAATGGAAAATATGAGAAAGCTTTATGATATGAATGAATTTCACATTGCATAGATCTGAATTATTGTCTATTTCTTCCCAATAAATGTCCTTAGTTAAATGTTGAAATACTGCTGCCAACTATATCTTTTCTTACTTGTATTATTTAAAACATTTCAGTATCTTTTGATGTGGTTAGTGATGGTCGGAAGCTGCAACCTTATATTCATTTATCTGAGATATTTTAGAGTAGGTATGGATAAGATTATGTCTAAATCTTTTTTTCTGAATATTGAACTGAAATGCCTTTATTTATTGCAAGGACTTCACTCAAGTCAATGTTTATTTGGTAGATCAATACCAACTAATGACTGACTTCATACACATCAATGTCTGCTTGATGGAAGTGCCTCTTTTTATCTTTTCAGTAATCACTTGTTTCAAATTATTTTTACTTAACAGCCTTTGCAGCCCCATGTTAGAGTATGGGATTCAGTGAGCCTAATGACTCTACAGGTTATTGGACTTGGAACTTTTGAACGTGGAGTGGGATGTCTGGATTTTTCAAAAGCAGTAAGGAAAACGTCAATGTCTTTGTTTCACAAACAATGTATTATGTGTATCTGTATAAATAGCTGTGAATATTTTGCTCACCTATTTTAACATTTTCTGATCATTAACTAAATTATTTTCAGTGCCAGTGTATCTGATTTTTTTTATACCTGGCTTGTATCCATTATTTTTCCTTATTTATTCATCAGCAATTATTATTCCAACAACTTTAGTTTTTAGAACAAGGCTGCCTCCAGCAGCTACTGGTGGGTATTGCAATTAGAGCTGCCTTAAATAGTTGCAGTCAAGTGTTTGATTCCACCCCACATACCTGAGGCATTTTTTTGGAATTGAATCCAAACATAGTCTTGGTAGCAAAACTAGTCATCACTAAATTATAACAGAATGTCATGGATCAGGAAAATAAACTATATTTTATTTCTGATTTAATTAGATATTTTGTATAGCTTACCCAATAATAAACTATATTGGTAACTATAGATATAGAAATAAATAGCCATTTAGAGTTGCAGGAGTAGAAGGCATATAAATGAGTAGATAAATGAATGATGCCATATAATCTGACTGCCTAGAACAGATTGAAGACCATGATTGGTTCTCATTTTCAGTCTGTTTGATCTATGATCAAAAATAATAAAACTGTTGACATTAAACAGTTTCTAGAATACCACAGGTTGCTTCTCTCTAGTGAGTAGAAAATTATTTACTGCTCAAAGAAGGGAATATAACTGAAAAGAAAGTAATATCTGGCAATATATCTTAATGTGATATATTTACTTTACCATTTACTATATAGAAAGCTTTCTGTCCTATAAAGGGCTTTCAAGAAACCTATTCTTAGCAAGCCTTGATATGAAAATTTAATGTTCATTCTGATGCTGATTTAAATGTTGACACAAAGAAAGAAACAACTTTGCACTTCTGCCCTTTTATAGTTACAATTAAAATTGTTCTTCCTTGAAATAACACCCTATCAAAATAGTGCTTGCAATATAAAAATTGTAATAATAAATCATTGGCTGTAATAGATGAATTTGTTACATGTCTTGTTAATTACAATTAGCATTTCATATAATATAATGTTTTCAAATTTATCTTAATTTATCGGCCATGAGAAATTATCTTGGTTTATTTTATTACCATTTTAATGGAGTGTTGCTTGCAGTAGTTACAACTTGACCACAGGAAAACTATCGCATACTTAAACATAAGAGGACATTATATAACATGATGACACAAATTTTATTATTAAATCTTCTTTGCAAGGATTCGGGTATACATTTGTGTGTGGTTGATGATTCTAATGAACACATGCTGACTGTTTGGGACTGGCAGAAGAAATCAAAAGTAGCAGAGATAAAGGTAAATAATGCTTAGATGTGTTACCATATGCAAAGTATATTGAATCTGCTTGGTGATATTTTACTGGAAATTTTAAAAAAAATTTTTAAAAATGCTATGTGAATAATGTTAAGTTCAGTTTTCCCCTCTTGGTAATTTTGCTAATTTTTCAGAGAGAAATGTACAGTTTTGTATTGTGGCTAAAGGAAGAAACAATGCCTTCTGTATGTGTCATCCCAGTGATACAATTACTCAACTTATAGCAGTGTGGGGGAACCTTTTCGGCACCGAGTGCCAAATGAGGGTGCACGGGCATGGGATTGCTGGAAACTGGAAGAGCAGCTACCCGGTGCGCATGCGTGCATGGGCACCACCCAGCTGGTCTTC